TTTTTTTTTTTTTTCCAATTACTCCTGGTGCATTACCTAGATATTTTAAATGGCAGACTTGACAGCAAATGCCAGGTTGGTCTGGAATGATCTGAAAGCATTTGAGATACTTCACTTTTGAAATGTGAATATGAGGATGGTTATGAAAAAGGGGGGGCGGGGGGGGAAGAAAGAAAGAAAAAAGAAATCTTTCCAAAGTATGTGTTGTTTTGATCTTCTCCTAGCTGATGAGATAATTACCTTAACCCCGATAGTAATATTTATTTTGCAGTTCCACACTTTGGTGGATTTCAGGTTTCCCCTCTCCATTCCCCATATGTTCATTGAGTAGTTTATCGCTTCAGATGCTCTGCACTCTTTGGAGGAGCACAGAATGGGGGTTTGTTTATTAGAGCTGCAGCAATTCCTGTGGTAAATGTTTGCTGCTATATATTTAGGCTCTCAGCTGTCACTACAGCTCCCATCAGTGCTATCTTAGTAGTCCTCTTTTCCCTCTCCTTTTAAGAAATCACACCTTTTTAAAAAGCAGAATGCATTTGTTGCCAGCTCGCTTCTAATCTTAAATGAGATAGGGCTGAGCTCCCGAGGTCAAGCAGCACGCCGTTGGAATTTGTAGTCTGGAAGCAGATTTTAATGTTGTACCTTCGTTACAATAGAAAGTGGCATTTAATCATTTTGGCAATTGATTTTATAGATATTGATTTGATCTCACCCTACGCGAAAAGTGTTGCAAATCTGGTTGCCCTGCTTCTGCTTTGGATCTTTTCTCATATCTCAGCATTGAGAAGAAACCAGGAGATTTGTGTTTAGCATCCTGCTCGCTCGGGATGGCACATCAGGATTTCCCACATTAATCTCACTATTGTTTTTTTACAGAGCCTCAGCTTAAAGGTATAGTTACAAAGCTATACAGCAGGCAAGGATACCACTTGCAGTTGCAAGCAGATGGAACAATTGATGGAACAAAAGAGGAGGACAGTAGTTATAGTAAGTGGCACGAGAATAAATGGTGTGTTTGTGAATTGTGGTGTCTCATTCTTCCCATGAAGGTCCATCAGAGATTGTTGTCCCACAGTGACTGAGTGGCAGCAGCATTAACATTGTGCACAGCACGGAGCTCCTTCAGACTTACTGGGTCTGAAAGAGATGCAAATACAAATCACTTACAGGGATAACGAACTAGAGAAAAGTAATGATGACACATATGACAAACAAAGAAAATGTTATCTCCATGGTAATCTAGAGAAGTTCATTGCTGTCCTTTGGATTTTATTAGATTTTTTTTTTCAACAGGGAAAATTTGCTCGCCTACTCAGAACGCCTGAAATAGAATGACTCTATCTCCACTCTGAAACTGGGGCTCATTCAAACAGAGCTGCGTTATCTCATGTAATGAGACTTCATCATCATTTCAAAGTTCACCTTTCCCTATTATTATTATTATTATTATTATTACTTTTTTTTAACCCCCTTTCTAAACTTATTTACACCGTTATATTTCAACCAGCCTTTCTGCGGGTGGAGAAAAAAAAGCGATTTGTGGATTTCTATTTATCTAACAATTTTGAGAGTTAACAGAAAACAAGACATGATGACCAGAATATGGATTTGGTGCGTGCTCATAAAATACGCAGATGTTTCTGACACCTGTATCATTTAGCTAAAACTAAGTTATTGTTCTGAAAGTGCTTAGGAGGAGTGCTGATGGCAGTGAGGAAGATGGCACAAAGGCTGGAGCAGAGCAGTGCTGGTTGGATGCTGCCCTGTTGCTGAGTTGTCCATGCAAGCACGACATCTCCTCTAAGAGCAGCACTTACGGAACATAACTGTTGCTCTTCCTTCAAGAGAGTGATCTAATGATTGAAAATCATGACAGATCAATGCAGATTGGTTCGGGTTTTCAGAGTAATTTTGTTAATTACCCAAAAAAACCCCAAAAAACTAAAAAGCAGAAGAAGTAGGAAAACCTTATTTTCTCCATTACTGCATGATACTGCCATAAATTTTTAATGTACCAGAGAAGACATCTGAAACTGCATATTAATTTTGAAGGAATTGTTTCATTTAAATGCTTCACTTGGAACTCCTCTCATGAGGATTCTGACACTCTAAGCAAGATAAATTTTGAGTCTACCTGTGCTTTTGACATTTGTGTCAACACATCTATTTCTAAGATATTTTTGTTTCCACTGTGTCCTTACATTTACCATGACTTGACAGATTATAAAGCAACCTGGTTGCTGGATGTTGGCTGCTGGACGTTGGTGCTTAAATTTAATGAAAGTAGGTCAGAAATGATAGTGATATATCTGTGGTCAGAACACAGGAGGGTTTTGTCATAAAAAAAAATAGTTTCATATATATTCCTCCTTTATGTAAGATAAATGTATAGGCCTGAAACTCCCGCGATACTGAATTTACTTTAATAGCAACATTTTTGTTAATGATATTATCAAGAGAAAGAGATCAATGTTAAGAAACAGAGCCTATATAATGGCCTTACGCCAAAGCCTCGCTCATGTGAATACTGGGTGGATCAGGCCCACTAAAATCCTTTCCTCCAATTTCTGGAGATATCTCTCTCCTTTGCCCCATATCTGTGCACTGCAGGGTCTTCCCTGTTCAGGAAGAACCCTTCTCTGCTTTCTTCTGTCCTACTTTACACCCCAAGGGATGTTGTAGCTCGTCCCTTTTGCCACTTCCACCAACCATTTGCTCTAAGACCATTTGCTTTGCATTGCAGTGAGATAATTAAAACTCCCCTTAATAAGGGAAATATCCTCAGATTCAACTGTTGCCAACAAAGCGATTGCATAATGCTGGGGCTCATAGAGCAAACTAGAATGGTAGCCTACCTGATCTCCTTATTAAATGTCTGCATTTGCTTTCCCTGTTCATTGCAGGGATCAGGAGAGCTTGCATCCTCTTTTTTGGGCTCCTGACAGCAACCTGGGCCCTGGGATCAGCCTTCTTCATCATTTGCTACCCAGAGCTGGTGGGAAGTTTTCCTGAAGATGCCCTTTGGCTCTGACTTGGGAGCAATTATTGCAATCTCTGCAGTCCTTCACCAAAACAAGTTTGCATCCATGACTGTGAGGAGTTTAAAAGAAAGCTCAGGTTTTGGAGCACAGTGCAGGCAGGAAGTGAGCCATTGGGGTGAGGAACTGTGGAGCTCGCCAGACCTCATTTTAAGCCAGGAGTCCGTGTAATTTGAGGAAGTGCCTCATGGAAAGGATTTCCTGGCTGAGAACCAGATTCTGCCTCATTAAACGTGTTAAATAGGGCAAGGTTTTAAATCAAGATGGAATTTATTCCCCAATTTTGGCATGACACAGAGATTTGAGGACTTATATAATAAGGAAATATAGGAAACAATGCCTTGTGGACAGCATATGGAAGGCCAGGTGGCTGAGACAGCGACGGCGCAGACCTCACAGCACTGTATACATTAATAAATCCAGCTGTGGCCGCTGCATCTTTATTTTACAGCTCTAATTCTCTGTCAGCATGTACCACGCAACAGCTATAGCAAAGATCATATCTCCCTTGGGCATCTCCAAGTTTTTCATTACGATTGATATTATGTCCTTATTTTACACAGAGCGAACATAATGGGGAAAAGTGAGGATGCAAATAACTGCATTGTTCTGAGCTAATGCAAACTGATTGTCATAGCAAACTATTTTTCCATGGCGTTTTTTCCAGCCTCGGGGGTCAACCAGAAATGCAATAGCATCTCATGCCCATTGTCCATAGCAGAGGGTGTTTGCAGAGCAGGGTGCAGCGTGGCCGTGGTGCAGAGGCAGCAGCACTCCCCCACGGCCCTGTTTGCAACTTCCGACAGTCAGCTGCCAATCCCACCAACATACACACCAGCTTCCGAGTGTGCTTGCCTCTCCTCAAAATAGAGCCTGTACGTTTATGGCAGGAAAACACGTTCAGCTGCGGAGGAGAGCAGCTGAGCACCCGCCGCAGCGAGTTCCCCAGCATCCTGTCTCTGCTCACTTTGCCAAACACAGCGCAGCCAGGAATCGCTCACTAAAACCAATCTCTGTTCCTTGTGGCTGTGAGCCCCATCTTCCTGACTGTCCTAGGCTTTGACTTGTGCTCAGTTCATCTGCGGGCAGCACTGTTTGCAGCAGAGCCCATTTTTGTACCCTCGTGTTGAAAGTACCTGAAAGCCCCACTCCGAAATGCACTGTTAAAAAAAGCATCTTTCAAAAGAGATCTCTAGGTTCTGCTTGGATACAGAGCTTTCAGTTGCACTCTCCTGCCCACAGGGAGATCAGGTGCTGCTTTTTGGGGGCTGAGCTGTAGAAGTGGGCTCTCTATGGGAGCATCACTGAGTCAGATGGAATACTTTCTCCCACAGAAAAATTCAAGCAGTCGATAGAAGAAATGAGGAATCTGTAACAGAACATTTCCCTTAGTGAAAGTCTATGTTTTGTTTGCTAAGACTATCAGAGAATTAGAGGATTTTGTTTTAGTGATGAGAAAGCTATTTCCATTGGCTTTATGCTTGCAGGCTGGTGTGAGGGGTGCCTGTGTCTATGTGTACCAGGGATGTACAGCTGTCTGACTGATTGAGCAGAGTCTGATTTCACCAAAAATTGGTTCTTCATCCCTAGAGCACAGCATCACCTTTGGCCATGCCTTCTCCAACACAGGATGTGCATCCATGTGCACTTTCCTGTTTGGAAGGTTTGAGCTACTTCTACTGATGAAAAACCATAAAACCATGATGGATACGCTCCTGACACCCCCACTCCCAGAATTTAGGATCTCTATTAAATGCTGTCAGGCTGCAAATTTTCTTTTAATTAAATATGACCACTTGGGTGTTATCGGGGTGAAAAAGGTATTTATAATGGGTTGTCATTCTTTTTGAAAATAGTAAGAGTATTTCAAATTCATCATTCAGATTTAAATTGGCTTCAGACAGTGCCCATAAATACCAAACTTCAGCCTGAAGCACAGAGGGGTTCTACAGCCATGGAATAGATGGCTAGAAACGTTTCACGTTGCTTCACCCTAACTCTGCCCTTACACAGCAGGAAGGAGACACCTGGGGTAATGATAAATTGAACATTTTCTGAACTCCCCCTCAATTCTGGATCCTCCATATCAAACACAGAGCTGTATTCATCTCACTTACTTGTCTTCAGTTTTAACATTGCCACGAATTTAAGCTATGGCAGAGCTTTGTTTTGTTAATTTGCCATTTAAAAAACAATATCTTCATTTTCCTGAAGAGAGGTTTCTCTGCTTATATATACTGTCACTGTTAGCATGTATGTGAGTAAAAATGCAAGCTCCATTTTGAAAACACAAATTTTGGGTTTGATTAAAGAATACGCTGTCAGTTCAGTTCATTTTTAAGTCATTTAGTGTGTGTTTGTCATTTCTTTCTTTTTTTCTTTCCCAAATCCATTTTCTTCTTCAACAAGCAGGAAAAAATAAAAAATAAAAAAAAAATCCAAGGAGTTCTGAGTGGAAACGCTTTGAGATGCTCATGAGGGGTTTTAGCTTTTCTGAATTTCTTCTTTTTTCGGTCAAAAAATGTTTCCTGGATTTGGAGAAAAAAAAAAAAAAAAAAAAAAAAAAAAAGTATTGATCGTTTTACGGAACTTTTTGTTTGTTTGGGAGTTTTCTTTTTTTCTTTCTTTTTTCTTCCACATTTATCATCATTAAACAAAAATAAAGGTATGTTTAACTCTGCTCAGTCCTTGTATTGTGCTTACGAGGCAGGTAAGTCGGCTCATCTCTCAGCACCTCCAATCCACCGCCTTCATGGTGAAGGTGGGAGATGTGTTGATTATCCTCTGTAGATAATTTCTGAGCTATTGCTAGAAATTGCTGTACAAGACAAAGATATTAGCAGTATTGTTCCATGGCGCCCACGGAAATTAATATATGCATGAATAGATTTTTTTTTTTTATTTGGTTCTAGTAATTACGGCTTAATGCTCTATCTAATCTGCATACTGTAAAGGATTAATTTTGCTTTCCATCTCCGTTCTCTCCCAGCGTTGTTTAACCTCATACCTGTGGGTTTACGAGTGGTGGCGATTCAGGGGGTTCAAACAAAATTGTATCTGGCAATGAACAGCGAAGGATATCTATACACATCAGTAAGTACATGTTTGTCATTTTTTTCTCACTTAAATTCTCTTAAGATCTCAGTAAATGATTAAGTTGCTGTTTCGAGGAACCCAGTTGTAACCTACAGAGACAGAATTTGGCAGTGAATTAGGTCTAGTGATGTTCTTGTTTAGTTTATTGCTCTTTTTTTTCTAGTATGAGTACATAGGAATGTATGGAATCAAACCACAGCGCCTTGGATGCAAACTAAGGATCCCAAAGTGTGAAATCAATTTAAAAAAAAAAAAAATTACGAAGACGCAAAACCAAACCAGACAGGAAGCTCTCTCTTGGTCACTGCCGACTGATTGCGCTAATCTGTGCGGCGTAGGGAGGAAAAAGGACAGCGTGGTGAATCACACGCCTGCCTGAGCACGTTTTGTATCTTCCTGTATCATCTCCATTGCTGTTATTAAAAGGGATTAGAGAAAGTCATTTTTTGTTTGTCTAGGATGTTCAAATAGAAATGGGATCGGGTGCCAAAATCTTAGGGCTTCAAGATGCTGCGTGAGTAAAGGAACGTTTCGTTTAGAGGTTTTGGTGACGAATGTCAATTAATAATTTTCTGTGGCATTTCTCAAGAGAGCGAATGCTGTTTTCATGAAAAAAGAAAAAGAAAAAGAAAGAAGAAAGGACTTTCTGAAACAGACATTTTTCAATTAAAAACATATAGTTGAATTATGTTCAGGAGTTTTAATTATAGAGTCTTAATAGATTTTTCCCAAGGAAGAAATGAGAGGAAAATGTAATTTATTATCTATTACAAATTATTCTCTGTTAAGAATGATTCCCTTAAGATGCCTTTAATACTGGTAACAATTAAATAAACTTACTCACATCTCCCATTTGTTTTGCAATCCTGACAGCTGGGACACAGGGTGAACTTTGCCTATTTTTTATGCAAGAGCAAAAGCAAATTAGAGCTGGGTATGCTTTGGGAGAAAGTAAGACCGCAGTGAGCGGCATCAAACTCCACTTCTCTTTCTGTTCTGGCTGTTTGCTCAGGGTTGCTAATCCACTGATCTGTTTGCAGGGCTGTGGCCACACAGCCGGATCATGCAAAGCCCCCTTAATCCTGCGCCATCCTGTAAAGCAGTGCCATTTACATTTGCACTGCTCATGTACCTTCGACTGCACTGTGAGTGTTCATTGGCATTGGCATCTGCTGGCTGCCCACTCACCGACAGCACTGAGCCATGCAGGATTCTGCCGGCACCGCTCTGCCTCTGTCAGTGTCACCTCTTGAGTCATGTGTTGGGGAAGGACAGAGCAATTTGTGCAATAAAGTGAAATTCCATCATTGCGCGCAGGAGACGTGCTGGCTGGAGTAGGTTGGTTCTTTCACTGCAAGGTGCATGTTGGAAGAGTCAGATCTATTTTTGCAAAGGTGCAGTAATTTTTTGCAAAGTTGGAGAAAATGGGATGCAGACAGATTCAGCGGGGACACGAAGCCAAAGGGAACGTCACTTCCAGTATTCCCCAATGTGAGGAGGCTGTAACAGAATGTAAGACTGAGAATCATAGAATATCCTGAGTTAGAAGGGACCCGTAAAAATCATTCAATCCAACTCCCGGCTCCACAAAGGACCACCCCAAACTCAGACCACGTGTGTGAGAGCACTGTTCAGATCCTTGTTGAACTGATGACTTAATTTGGGGAAGTCCAGCTTTTAGTCTGACGGGTACCTAGGCACTGCAGGCAGAGCTCGGAGATTCGTTTTGGTTGTCATTTTTTGGTTCTGTTAGCACTGATTGAAGAGAGTTCTTTATGTGGTCTCGTGTGTTACCATGCATAGTATCATCTTTGAATCCTTTCGTTTCTGTGAACTTAACACATTATTGTTATTGTAAAAGTAGTGAGTGACATCCCTGTTTTTCCCTTAGTAACGATAGTCAGTCTTGTTATTTATTGGGCAGCTGTATTTTCTTCTATTTGTTCTTAAATTTTTAGCCTGATAGGCTTCACCTGCTATGTCAACAGCTTTAGGATTATAGCTCCAGCACCACTTTTTAAGTGTTTCTAGCTCATCTTTTGCTGATAATCATCCTTTCAGCAAGGGATACAGCCTGACAGCCTGATACATGAGAAATTAGCTCTGTATTTTGGACTGGATTTGTGGTTGATGTAAGTGAGTCCCAGGAGAGCGCAGCTGATTTATACCAGCTGAACGCTCACCTGTTCAAGGGATGCCAACAGGGAGCTCAAGGAAGAGATCAGCTCAAGTAAATGACATCCATCTACACATCCCGAGGCTTTCCAAGCCCCTGCAGGGAGGTGTTCCTGAGCAGGATCTGTCAGGAGCAGAAAAATGGCAACATGGGATTGATTGGCAGCTAAAGGCCCGTAATGCACTGACAAACTCTCAAAGCAAGAACAAGGGGGAAAATAGAAATGTACTGCAATAGTAGATAATGACAACAGATAGTTGCACCATTTTCAGAGAGAAATGTAACGAGTGTTGATGATACAGTTAAACAGGGAGAGAGAATATCTTGGTCTACGTCAGGATCACGTGCCTCCACTTTCATTGTGATCCCAGAGGTTCATTTGTGTTTGTGTCTGCGCCGTTTCCTTCAGATTGCATCGCCAAAGGTTACAGATTCATTTGGGAAATGATTAGAAAAGCACCCTACTGCTGCGCCATCCCTGTTCCTTGCCCCGTGCTGCTGTCTGTGCAGTGGTGCCTTTCAGCCTGAAACATTTCTGAATCAAATTAGTTGATTTGAAGTCTCTGACATATGTAGAAAATATTTCCTAGCCACGATGTGCTACAGTTGCTGGCAGATGGAGGATATCTGCGGATGCATTTTGCCAATTTGTTGAGCTCTGCCTTTGGCCTCACCCCTTTCCCCAGCAGGGCGTGATTCAGGGAGCTGACCTCGGAGGAGGCTGCAGTATGGTTGCTTCTGATCCAGTGACTGTACTCCAAAATGAGGGGAATTTGCTCCATGAGGGGATCAGTGAAGTATAATGAATCTGCAGAGAGCAGATATCTGTAGCTGGCTTTATAGATAGTTCGCGGTGTCTGTCAGTTAGAGCAAAAATAATATCTTTAATGTAATGATAAAAGCTCCTCAGGGACAAGGCAGCAACTCAGCTAAGCAAAAAAGAAAAGAAAAAAGAAAAAAAAAGAAAATAAAGGAAAATATATTAATATTAAATATATGTACAATTATCTACATTTGTAGCAGAGATACACTGCAAGTTCTGGAGTACAGAGAAGGGAAGAGCCCTTGGCTATGACTGTTCACCCCCTGGGAGGAATGGGGCTGGTTGATAGAATAGCACATCTGTGATGTTTTTCTCTATCTGGTTTCTTATCCAACTCAAGGAGGGTTGAGTGTCTGTGTCTCCCAGGCTGAACCCACCCTCAAGATTTTCCTTGCTGGGACATGGTTGGAGCGATTGAAGCCGGAGCTCTTCCTGCTGTTTGGTATTTGGGCATCCATTGAAAATGAAAGCACAGGGCTGGATTTATCCCGTCTTACACCAGAGTCACACTGCTGTGAGGTGACCTAAACAGTGTCATGGCACCATTACCTTACGTAACCGCGTGATGAATCATGCCTTTTCGTGTTTTAGGATGGCCTTTATTTTATCTCTCAGAAGACCACCAGGTATGTAAGCTTGAGTTTTTCAGGCTTCATACCCCTATGAATTTCTTGTGTTTTCCATCATCTTGCACAAAAGAGTGAAAAGTATTTTAAGGCTCTGTTTGTCAGAAAGGTTGACCTGGAGCTATTGCTTTCTCATTAAAGTGGTTCTGATTTGATGGGAGAAGCTCGTGGTGATACAGAGCGGCAGCTGAGTGAAGTTTCATTAAAGGGAAGGCACGTAGGTACGAGGTGAAGAGAACTGAGCGTGCTGCTTGAATTCTGCATAGGTTGAAACATAACCCAAACCACCACAAACCTCAAAAAATAGCCCAAGAAAAATTAACTATCTGCATATTTTCCACAAACAGTCATACATGATTTACTCTATGACAGCATTCAGCTATCATTGTCCTCTTATTTAAATAGATGGTCATATGTTCACTACCTACACAGAAAGCAGATATTGTGTGAAGCATACACACTGATTACAACCAGAATAGTGAAATGTGATTAAGTTCTCAGAGTGGTTCAAAAAATGGTTTTGGTGAGTTGGAGAGGAGAGAGATTTGGGCATATTTTAATACTGAGCAGTGCAGTGGAGACCTGCTGCAGTTAGTGGGAATGGCTGGGACATTTATAAAGAATTACTGGCAAAGAGCACTTTACCACCTGAGGGAAATGGTGCAAACCAAGAGATAGGGGAAAGAATCAAAATTTAGCTAAATTTGCATGTCAGTATAAAAGATTTTTTACCATGAATGCTCAAGCACAGACTACACCTTAACGTAGTTCATTCTCTTCAGCGATAAGGTCTCAGATGCAGCTGCATTTTTTTTCACTTCAACACCTTGTGAGGAACGTGCAGCATCCTCCCAGTAAGGAAATGGGCATTGTGCTGGCAGCTCCAGCTGCCCCATAGTGAAGGGCAGTGAGGGGCAGGTGAGGTGTGGGAGCGGTGCGCAGACAGGAGCTGCTCTCAGGAGGTCCCCGGGCATTGCAGGATCAGTCTGTGCTGATAAATGTTTTCTGACACCTTCAGCTATGGACACAGCTTTCAATTATGCCAGCAGCTAAGCTCAGCAGATGCAAACCATCTGTACTTGAGTTCAGTCCTACAGCAGTGTTGCAGTGCAGGGATGGATGCTGGAGGTACCTGGACAGGGAGAAACCCGGTGATGTCCCTACAGCATCACCAGCTCCCTGGTGGTGGGAACTCTGACTGTGAGGTTCCAGGGTTGGCTGTGAGCTGGGCTATGTGTAGCTAGCTGTTCTGTTCAGGTGCTTGTTGCTGCCAGAATCTGTGTGATTCCAGATTTCAGGAGGCAGACTGCCTGCTGTCTCCAGCTGTGAAGGGAGAGTGCTGCCTTCCCATGGGAGAGTTATTAAGAGACTC